CTATCTACCTCATCCTGTTTTGCTCTGTTCTTTTTTCTTGTTTTTTTTTTTTTTTTTTCCCCAAGGGGAAAAAAAAAACACCAGTGTGATATGATACCGTGATACATGATTTGCCTTAGCATACAAACACTATATCGAAGGAAAAAAAAATCTTGTTATAAAACCCAATTGCCCACGACACGTATTTCTGGGGGATCTGGAGCGCATGTCGAGTTGCTCGCTTCACATTGCAACTCACTCGCTCACTGGACCGGTATCATCGCGGCCGCTATATAACGAATACTACGGTTCCCAGTGGTCCGATACAACCCATGATCCCGCCGCCCCACTTCCGACAAACAAATAAACAGACCGAACCCCGGCAGCGTTTTTTTTTCTTTCCCCCTTTCCCCCACAAAGACTCACAAGTCTAACAAGGCTGGCCTATCGTAGCCCTCTCTCTCTCTCTCCAAGGTATATATGAATGAACGAACGATACAGCACAGTTCTAGACCGCACCGTACGAAAAACGGCCACCGATTGAGCATCATGAATCAGCGAAATGGAACAATATCTCCGATAATTTCAACCGCCGTATGTATGATAACCATATCCACGGTACCCGAGCCTCTATCCATCTCCCCACCTTCCCCATCTTGAGCATCATATCATATCATATTATGCCCGGGGAGAATGTTTCGGTATGTGGGTATAATACGGTACAAGAGCTGGAGGAGTTGTTTTGCGGGTCAACCCGAATTAACTGTTCTATCAGGGTACTTGTACCATATCATATTATCATACTTGTATAATACGGTGCCCGAGCAAAAAAAACAAATTTCCCAAACTCACCGACAAACCGACCACTCGCATCGTCATGCAACGCACGCACGTTCCCCACATTGCTCGCCAGTAACAATCAAGCATCACCTTCCAATCTGGCTGAGGGAAAAACCATCTTGGTGAGCGATCGCCAAGGAATGTCACCAGATAGATCCTATCCATCTATCTAACTTACCGTATCTGCCGAGCCGATAAAAAAATCTGCCATGGAGGCGGTAAAAATCGTTTTCCGTCTGATACTGGACAGTCACCTAATCCGCGAGTACTGTACAGTACAATCACAGTACTCGAGTACGGCGCACGATAGCAACGTCAAAGCGGTAAAAATAAAAATAAAAATTAGGCCGGGCCAACCAAATGATAGGATAACATGTTCCGATGCGGTTGATTCAAACGCACTCATCCATCCACCCTCTCACGACAAATATAACTTAGTTTGGTTTGCGAACACGGCGCCCGAACCAGTACGCTACATGCGGAGCCTTATCACTACTATACAGCGTCAAATCACCACCCCAGTTAGCTTGAACACCTACCGTGCACTAGGGTGTACTTTTATTATTCTTCTTCCGGGCTTACAAGATATGGATCAGAATCGATAAAGCTTTGACCCAATTGTGATCAACAATTAGGGGAAGAAAGCCGACTTCCTCACATACAAATTGACAGGTCCCCCCCACACATACGCCCAAAATGCGAGCCCAGCGCATCTCTCCCCAGATAAAAACATCTCCATCAATCAGGATCCCGGAATAGCATCTTCTTGACACACCATACGGGGATGACCACTCCTAGGACTGCTAGCGTACCGGCCAATACGGGGGGGGGTTCTCCAAATACTCGAGTAATTGGGTCTGAATAGAACTCCCCCTTCCCTTCTTCGTAACCCTTTTTCCCCCCCGCATCGCCTTTTTAACTTAACGCACTGCACCACCCTGCGCAATGCAAAAAAAAGGCCAATCGGGGCGTCTAATTGGTTTCCTCTTAGGAACCGCGTGGGCACTTTCTCCGGATAGTGACTCTATATCAACCCGCCCTTCCACATCTCTCCCCCCATCATACGTGACATACGAAAGAGGCCCGTGATATAGTTCCCCACGGCGTGCCGAAGCCCCGAATCGATGAGGGGTTTGCTGAGCACGCTGCCGACGTGGCGGGTTTCAAGAACGATGCGGAAGGATCGGGGGAGAGTTGCGCCAACTGCACTGAATGAGTGGGATTCTTCCAAAGTGCAATCGGAGTTGCCGGGGGGAAGTGAGAGTCGGTGGTCGTGCGTGTAAAGTGAGAGATTGAAGAGAAAAAGAATCATAAATACCGAAGAACAAATCACAGGAGGAGATAGGGCACTGTACAGTGCTCGTAGGTTGGGGAGCAAAAAAAAAAAAGATGGTTGATCTTTCTTCTTATTATTAATGTCCAATCGATAGCTACTCGAGTATCATGCATCGGAGACAGCCATACTCACCACACAGAGAACCACTCTTATACACGACGCACAGAGAGATGACGAGTATCTGGTGCTTCCAGGCTGAACATATCGTATCATACAAGTATCATACCTCCGACAGAAAGGGATATCTCAGACACCAATGCGAGTGACGGGCCATGATGTGAACCCTGAAAACTTGTCTGACCAGGATTGAAGATTTCCGGAGAGGCCCCTTGAAAAAAATGAAAAAAAAAACTACACTTGACTTGACTTCCCTCCCTAGCTAGCTCGAGCACGAATGTGTTTGGCGGTGGCAGGTATGATAGCTAGCACGACACTAGTTAACAGGAATTGGCCGCAAGATTGGACCTGTACAACAGAGGCGGAACAACCCATTAATTGAATAAAAATGCCCCCAATAAATCCCAACGGTACGGCAGCGTGCCATACCATCATCACCATCATCATCATCACCGGATATCAACGCTGTATACGGGGTACGACCGACCAACACACGGAAGTGGGCACATGGCAAAAATAATAATAATAATTAATCTTCCGACGTTGATGAGGGAAGTTAGTGAAGGGAAGAAGTTCTGACAAGGGATATTGGGACCTATGATACAAGAATTATCATATCTTAGAAAAGCAAAAAAAACTAGAAAAAAACTTATGATACAATGGCAAATACACAATTGACGATGGCAAAGAAGATGAAGATGAAGAAGCGCACCTACTTTACTTACTTACCCGACACGAGAGGATACGACAAGTCAATGACCGCAGCAAACACTCTAACCACCTCCATCATCATCATCATCATCATCATCATCACCCTTGACTGCTCACAAATTACTCACTCCTGAGACCTTGACCCCGAGAGCGGCCATACATACATACATACATACATACATACCACCCAACGCGACCTCCAAGAATACCATACCAATAATACATACCAGCCGGTCGTCATCATCATCATCATAATACCACACTCACGATACCACCACCACCACCCCAAGTCTTCTCCCGAAACAAACAAACACATTCACCCAACTCACGTCCTCCCTGTCGTGACAGCTATGGCACGACAGAGAAATATGATACAACGGAGCTTTCACGAATATACCGCTTCCTACCCCATCTTATCCCATCATACCAACCACCGCACAATGCAATTCAAATCCAATACAGTGCAATACACACACCGGGAGAGGTAGTAGAGTGGCAGAAGAAAGGGAAAAAAGAAAAAAAAACAGGAAAGCAAGATAGATAATCACCCAAGAATCGCATCATGATGTATGATATATTAATATCATCCACCATAACTTCACTTTATACCCAAGTCTACAGTACCACACGAACAAGAGGTTTTTCGTCACAGGAAAAGGAAAAAACTCAAAAAAAAAACCCCCCCGTTCCTTTTAAAAATCATATACTGTACAAAAGAGCACCCGATTTTTCTTTTTCTTTCCCAGACAGACAGACAGACAGACACAAAACCTTCCTCCCCCGTACGGTGCCGTGTAGTGTCATACCATGATCCGTGGTTCGGTACAGTACAGTACACGGCTTTGTGAGGGCGGCGCCGGGAGTCGTGCCTGTTCGTCTTTTATATCGTACAAGTACAGCCTCCCGGCTAGTCGGATGATGGTGGGCAGGTGGTACGATACGGTTTGTGATTGGTTGGATGTCGCCATGGGATCGGAAATCTTTTGTGCGCAACGGAGCAAAGAGAGGCAAGACAAGACAAAGGTTTGCCGGGGAGTCTTGGGTCATGGGATATCACCCGCCATACCCGGTTTAGTGCTCGGGCAATCCTAACGTTGGAGTGGTGGGGTAAAGCCTAATTACGCTCGAGTTTCTCTCCATATAATCTTCCGCTCGTTTATTGGAAGCGTAGGGGGTTAACGTCGGGCTTCGGGAGTCCACATTGGCCGCAACACTACGAGTGATACGCACAACATTTCCACAGAAGGGGGGGATACTAGCGGCTAAGAAGGTAGAAACTAATCTGATATACACTCATATGTACAATCTACCTTTCTTCCTTGAAAGAAATGCAATGAAAAATTCCAAAATAAATACCACCAAGCACAGATAAAAACACAAGTTGGTTATGTAGGAGCAGAGAGAGGGGAGAAACACCAGTCAACCCACTGACCAAGAGACACATAGGAAGCAACAGAACAATGCACTCCCCCATGTTCAGATCGTGTATCCAGTCCTCCCCAACCCTCTCAGCCATACTACTTACTATCCACTCCCTCACCGTCGTCGCAACCGCATTCTATGCCGGAGAAGAAGAAACGGAAAAAAGGAAAAAGGGGAAAAGTCTGCCAAGGAAAGACGAAATTGTTTTTTTTTATCGAAAAATAATAACAATAAAGGAACCAAGGGTGGGCGAGCGCAACCCCCCCCCCCCCCCCAGGTGCGATGTAGAGGCAAAGATAAAGGTAGTAGAAGTAATAAGATGACAGTAAGGCGACGATTGAAGAGGGGGGGAAAGAGGAAACCACGGTGGTACGACCGCCAAGCCAACGAATAATGACAAAACGACGCAAGCAAACAAGCAAGACATCCTAAATAACGATGAGCGCCCAAACATAAAAACACATATATGTGACTCCATCCCAAAAAGTTCACACAAGAAAAAAAAGAAAAAAACAAGACTAAAAAACTCGAAAACGAGGAATTCCATTTGTAATGAGGAGAGAAGAAGAAGAAAAAAAAGAAACCCTGAATAATCTTAACCCCACCCAGCGCCCCTTGAGCCTTCCCCTATACTTCCTGCACCCCCACCACGACTACCTCTTCGCCGAGCGGAGGATCCGGTTGAGCCGTCCCTGCCGCCTCGTTCCTGATCTAGGCTTCTACGAGACTGCTGGGCGCCTGACATATCGCTCATTGTGAAGAGGAGGTCGTCTTCCTCGCCACAGATCCCAGACCTCGTGCAACCGGTCACTCGTCCCCCCAACGGACGGGTTCTCCCTTCCGTGGAGCTGCCACCCGCTCCCCGATCTAAACTAGATGTTGATCTAGCAGCGGGAGGAGTTGAGCCGCCCCTCCCTCTGGATGGGAATCTTCCGCGAGACAAATGCCCAGGAGACCCAGCACTCGAATATGTAGTGCCTCTGTGGGACGTAGCATGCCGTTGCCGAGATCGAGGAACATCGCCCTCGGTCTGTGGTGCCCTTATAGGACCGAAAGCCGGAGCGTCATCCCCGACGTTACCCTCGCGCGTTCCCGGTTCGGATTCTGAAGTCCCGGGCAAATTAGTCGCAGATGCGTTCTGGAGGTCCAAAAGGCGGCTCATACTTAGCGAAGCCGTGTCAATACTGCCAAGGCTAGCACTCTGTCGCATTTCCGGGCCATAGGGAACCAATGGGTCGAAATCAAGGGAATCGCCATGAATACGCTGTTGCTGTTGAGTCATAGAATTTGACCTACGCAGACCAAAAGGACGAGGAGGGGATGGTATATCAAGGGGAGATGTAGTAGCAGCACGATCAGGCCTGTCCCCACCATCCGATGATACCTCTCCTGAATGGTTCTGCTGACCGCCAGGTCGCGGCACATGCCGTGCCGTCAGCCCCGTACTCAGCCTAGAGGGGATGGCGGGTGTATGAGGTGTATGGGGAGAGATAGGCTTTCCGGGCGAGGAGGAAGACGAAAATTCGGTCGAGGGTATCATTGCAGGAACATTGGAGAAATGTCTGCTTGATGTTAAGGGAGAGGTCGAAGATGGCTGGAGAAGGAGCGATGATGAGAAAGAGTCCGCCATACTCATATGTGAATCTCTCATCTTCTGATACTTTGACAAGGCATTTCCAGTCCGTTTACTCGAAGCTTCTCCCGAAGAGCTTCCAAAACTCTTCAACGTTTGATTTTGAGCATTGGCCAATAACTTCATAAAATCTCGTATTTGCAAATCCTCATTAGAATTGGCACCAGTCTCCGCATAGAGACCGGACCCGGGGGCGGCCGACGAGGAATAGCTAGCCTTTCCACTACTATTGTTATCATCGTCCGTGCGGCTCGCACCTGAAGCAATACGAGGCCGACGCGAACCAAAGCTACTTGTAATTCGAGTCATAGGTTGTGCAACTAATGGAGAAGACCCAGTATTCGAAATAGGAACAGCATGCTGGGCAGATATCTGCTCAAAGCTTGGTTGCGGCGGCATTTTATTGGACAATGGGGGCATAGCTCCGAGACTTGGTCGTTGTCGATGAAGGGGGGCTACAGGGGTTGACATCCGATTTAACGAAGTTCTCGGAGATGAAGCTACCTGGTCAGAATTCGCCGGTGAAGCTGACAAGGAAGGAGACTTGAACGGCTGCATAAACGACACGGAAGATCGACGCTGCGTGCCACCACCATCCACGCTCCTGAGAGACGCTTTCGATCCATGCATGGAGCGCAAACCGGCTGTAGGTCGTTCAACAGGCGAACCAGCAGGGGATGCTCTATCAGCCATTTCTGCAGCAGATCGTAGGGCAGACAGCGGACTCGCCCCAATCGGATTGGCACCCTGTTGGTGAAAGGATGACAGACTCCCGTAAGTCTGGTTAAACTCGGACCTCGGAGGTTGATTCATACCAGCAGACGGCAGCGAGTTCATTTCCCTTACGGCAGGCTGAGAGGGGTCTCTTGGAGCAGGCGGTGGCCCGAAGAACTGTTCATCCAGATTCAAGAATTGGGAGCTCAACAAGGCCTCTGAGTCATCCACCCTAAAATCACAGTTCTGTCGATAAGAAACACCAACTTTGATAGAACCTGCTGGACTGTCCACCTTCTCAATCTGATACGTTTCAACGACGTTACCCTCGCCTTGACACAACGGCACATACAAAAGATCGAGATCCTTCGGGGGGTGCGAATAGTCATTGCCATTAATGACCCGACAATTAACCTTCAGAGCGCTCGGGTTGAGCTTGGATTTCGACAACCGTCGACGGAATTTCCAAGTGGGCATAAGCCCAGCATATGAATACAATGCACGAAACATTACAATACCCTTCTTATAAACAACAGGGAGCTCCGGAGCAAGTGCGACGTCAAACGGAGCGCTGATTCAAACCGTATAATCAGTTAAATTTCTTCAACCCGTCAGGGAAATGTGGACAGGAAAAGAGAAAGGACAATCACAGAGACCCAGACGAGGTCATTGAAACCCCCCCCCAAATGTGGAAGAGGCCAGATCACCGGAGAATTGCTACAGGGATACGGAAAGAAAATTAAGCTTACCCCAACTCTACTGTCCACCTTTCCAATATCACTTCGTGTCCAGCGGGCCCTCCGCGCACACTTCTTCGAGGTCCCGCATTCAATCCAGCTCGGGCCGCAGCCGCATCGGTGGCCTCGTCCACATTCCACTTCTTTCCCTCAGCATCTAAAATCACCAAAGATTGGCTCGTTGTAAGATCCCGAGTATCGAGATAAGTCTCAATAATTAATGGCGGAGGTCGCGGTTCGAACGAGTCTCCGCAGCGCCACAAATCCAACTCCCTTCGAAAGCTATCCGTCTCGTCAAGCTCGATATTGAACTACACAATTGGACAAGGAGAAAGGAATCAGTAACCGATGCTCGAAGACCAGTAAGGACAAAAAAATAGCAAACAATACGAGAAGGATGGCCAGCGTACCCATTTGTTAACCTTCTTGACGCCATTTTTCGACACCAATGGTCTAGTCTGCGATCGTGTCTGTATGATGATCATCGCAGCTTTCATGAAGAAAGCCTGTATGATCTGGTTTACTTTATCTCTATTGGTTCTCTCACCACCACCACCACCACCACCACCACCGTTTCCCGCACTAGCTCCCGATGCACCAGATGAGTAACCCCCATGCGATGCTCCTCGTGAATGTCCTCCTCCTCCTCCAGGTGGAACATTTGTAAAGCCCCCGGAACCAGAAGAAGTGCCCGAACCGTCCATCCCAGCATAGTTGGGACCTGTAGAAAACCTCCTCGTCTGCTCAATCTCGCCCCCAGCCAAACCTCCGGCAGTCGTCCGCCGGCGTGGTGAATCCCAAGGGAGCTGTGGTGAATCCCGTCCGTACATTATTCGAGCTATGGATAAGCAACAGATAGGACGAAAGGGTTGTAGTGGTGATTTGTAGATGGAGGAGAGGTGGGAACTTTTTTTCTGGAGAAAATAAGGAGTGTGGGCGGAGCTTATGCTGCTAGGCAAAAATGACAAAGTTGGTTATGAAAAAGCCCAAGTCCGCGATAGCCATCACATTTATCTAACCCGCTGCGAATCCTTGAATTATTGTGCTCCCTCCCTCTCTCTCCCGTTTCCTACGCCACGCAGTTCCTCGCAGGTTTTCGCAGGTAGTTGGACCCTGTGGTTGGCTCGTCTCCGTTCTAACGGGATGCGAGTTTTACAACGCCGTGTCTCTGCGGAGGGTGGGTGAGTGATGGAAGCGTCCCTCAATCGTAGGGTGGCTCGCGCGAGCTCGAAACGGGCAGCTAGCCAGGAAGGGAGTGTGTCACAGGCCGATGCGAACTACTCTGTCAAGAAAGCCAATAAGCGAATTACTCTATGGGCGAGCCAGCGCCGTGAAGGCCTCGATAAGCTATGGGGAGGAGACGGAACGGTGAGTGGGATGAGATGAAGATGGAAGGGTTGGAAAGGTCTGGAGGTGGCGGTGATGCGGAAGGTGTGGGTGAGGAGGACGATTAAAGGCTGCAATGACTTCCTTAGCTGAGCCAGATGACAACGGGGCACTGCCCGTGAAACAAGAGGAAGGCTCTGGGTGGAGGTGAATGGCATACCTTGATCCAGCTGAAGAGGGGGGGGGGAATGGGAAGAACGAAAGTCGAAGAAGCACAAAAAAGAAGGAAGCAGGGTAGACTGGGGCCGTGGTGGTAGCGGATTGGAAAGGGAGAGGGGAAGCGGGCAGAGCAAGAGGACGTGAAGGGGGGAGGGGGGAGGGGGAAGGGGGAAAGCACTGATGGCTGAGTCGAGATGAAGAAGTGACAGTCAAAAGTCCCCCACGGGAGGAACAAGAGTGGCAGGGGAGGGGGGGAGGATGGTGGGAAGGTTGGATTAAAAACAACGGGTGAGAGTGGTGACTAAGTGGGTACGCACTCACTGTAGCTTGCGGTTGCGTGTCAACGACAATCGATGGACAACCGGGCAGGAAAAGAGCGAATGGAAAACAGTTCGGTTGGACAGGAAAAGCGGTGGGAGGAAGTCTTGCGGATTCCGTACCGACCAAGTAGCCATAGGGAAAATCAATCGATCAAAGAATCAGTCAAAGCAGAGCACAGAGCGTGTATCATACATACTGTACCAGTGCTTCAAGTTCTGTTCGTACTGTAGTTCCAAGAAGTCAATAATCCCTGCCCCTGCACCCGGTCCAGTGACGATAAATTGATGGTGGATGGGCAGCGAATGGATAAGTTCAACAGACCGTGCACCACCGCTTGTCTCTGCTGGCGTGCAGGAGGAGATAGACAACAGCGATAGGGCGGGTCAAATGAAGCTTCTTCAGGAGCTCGAACAGTTACCGTACAGGACAGCATGTATCACACTTGGCACTCGCACTCGACCATGATACAATCCGGATCAGGGAGCGCTGTCTCCGGGAATATCTATTAAGCCATGTAGCGGCGATTCCGACTCGTCTGATTGATCGCACCGTTGTACCACCGGTATCGGAGGGCCGATAGTGGATGGAAACAGATACCGCACCGATATCACAATCAACCGCACCGTACCCGTATCTGCAGCTCTTGATTGATCCTCGATCCGCCCAGCTCAGAACGCCCACGGTTCTTTTCCACAGCACCGTACTGTGCGAGTACTCGAGTACATGACTACCCGTCCGCCAGCCAGCCAGCTCGTGTGTGCTGTACCCGTGCGTTGGAGTGCTCGAGCCCTACATACCGGTATCATACTGGTATCATACCTCTCTCTCCCTTCCACCACCACCTCTTCCACAGAACCAGTCACTCGCCATTTATCCATAGCACGAACGCAGACTGCCGGAAAGGCTATCCCCTCCCTAGTCACCCCCTTGCACTCCTACCCTTCCTTCCTCCCTCCCTCGCAGCAGAGCGCAGCAATCCTCGGAGAAGACGATAGACAGAAACATACATGCACGCATACATACATACATACAGCGAAAGGGCCATGACTCAAACGGACAGACAGACCTGGGGAAACGCGAGCGGGTAACTCACCATACGGTGCGGTCCAGCACAATTGCTCGAGTATGTACTCGAGTACCGGTGCCGCGCCGCGCACCCATCAAACGAACCCAAGCCCGTTCACCCATCCATCCATCCATCATCCATCCATCCATCCATCGCACCGGCACAACCCCATCCATCGCCCATTTAGCATTCCTTGGCGAAGATAAATAAATCGCAACCCCCCAAAAAAAAACCCTTCCCGGAACCAAACCGACCCACCAGTCATCCCACCTCTCAACGCAGAGAAAAAAAGAAAAAAGAAAAAAGTATCCGGGAAGGGGAGAAGCGGGAGAGAAAAACGATAAATGAATACCGCACCGTACTGTTGTAATCATGAATGAAGATAAAAAAGACGAATAGGGAAAGGGAAAAAAGAGAAGAAAAAAAAGATGGTGGTGTGGACGAAAAGGAACCTGGCGCACAACTCGCAGCCTGCATCTGCAGACCAGACGTAACCCAACACACCCCATATCATATCCAACCCCATCTCGCGTGACCTAATAGGTAGTTCGGTGCGAGCCCACTTACAGTAGCTTCTATTCCTTTTTGAGGAAAACGGCCTTGTTTTTCCAAAGGGTTTTCCCTTTTCTCGCTGTCTATTTTGCGATGTACAAGTGCCAAGGATAATATTTTCGCACAGTTAATTTAGGTTAACCCGCAAAATAATCCCTGTCTTGTACGAAAAAATCTCCCCTGGCACTTGTATCATACAATACAGCACCTGTAATACTGTACAAGTAGTACGAATACTGTATTCCTATGCACCGCGACACCGTGCGCAGCCAGTAGCTAGCTAGTCTAACTGCCGCCGTTTGCAAAAGGAATAAACGGCGGTGTATGTTTTTTCCCCAATCACCCTTCCGTATCATGCATATTCTTGCATGCGCTGCCCCACACGACCGGTACAGTACGAGTGCAGTACGAGTACAAAGCATCATGCGCCAGGAAGGAAGTCAACGTCCGCCCTACGATGCTGTACCGTACTGTACTGTACTTACTCTACTCACTTCGTTCATTCGTGTTGTACAAGTACCGTACCGGTAACGGCTCACTACATAACCCTCCCTCCCCTTCCCTCCCAGCAACACGGAAGGAAGCAAAATCCAAAACCGCGAGTAGACTATGACAGCCAGAACAAGAGGGAGCAGCGGTAACGTGATACTACCTACCACAAGAGAAAGCAAGAAAGAAAGAAAGGAAGAAAGGGCTTCATGACCATGATGTGACAACGAACCCCGTGACAAACGATAAGAAGAAGAGGAAGAAGAAGAAAGGTTCCAGCATCACAGACTAATCTGGAATGTCCTCGCCTATTGTGGGGGGGGGGGGGATCCCCATAGCACTTCAGGATCACAGTTAGACTATGGCGTGCTGATGTCTCGACTAGTACCGAATGACACCTTCTCGTGGATTTCTGGGATATACGAGTACTAGTACTGTACCGGTACCCTTGGCGCCAAGGATTCTGTGACTTTGGTGTTTGCCTTGACATTTTGTACCGTATCGTACTTTTGAAATTCGCCACTTGAGGTATCATGGTATCGCAAATGGTAAGTGGCCGGGTTTATGGTAGAACTATGGTACGGTGGGGGGTTTTTTTTTTTTGCTGGGAGGTCAGCTTCGACGGGCGCGCTCGGAAATATTATACCGGTATTGTATTATATGCTGCCTTATCCAGGGAAGACCATGAATAGTACCGGTAGTACTCGTAAGTGAACAGTGAGCCAAACAAAGAACCGTAGCGAAACGGACCACAAAAATTACCCTATCATACTGTATGTATGTACAATATGTATGATACAAGTACCATTCAATAGTATATTATATGGGCGCGGCCTCAGCAAAGTAACGATCCCACCTTTCCCACCCATCTCAAAAATGTGTTCAGTTCAGTTCAGTTCAGCTACAAACTTTACCTCTCTCGGTTAGAAGACCAACCAATCCTAGCGCCCTCCCTCCCTTCCCCCCCTTACCCAAATCACCTTCGAGAAAAACCATAATCGAAAAAACCGCAGTCTTCACCGGGAAACACCATCCATCACCTACGATATCATACTCGAGTACAAAACCGCACCCCACGAACGAAACAAGTTACCCTACGGTACTGTACTCTGGTAATTTCCCCTTTTTTGCCACCTTAATTACCGTGCGATACTGCACTAGTATTATAAATTACTATAATATTATAATACTTGTAGTATCATAGTCTAGTCTAGTCTACGGTAGTCTAGCTCTAATTCCGTAGACTCACTCACTCACTCACCGACGACAATACGTAACGTACTGTAATGTAATGTAAGAACGTTAAAACCAGCATCTTCGCAGAAACCGAAAATCACGCTTACAATAAACTTTCCCATTATGTATGATACACTCATACATACGGTACTATCATACTTATTATACGACGGTCCACCCCCCCCCTCCCTCCTCCTCCTCCTCCTCCAGCTTTCTGACTCCCTTCGCATCTATAATTTATATTAAGAAGAGCACGGTACTCGTACCACCTTACCTAAATACGTATCATCCTGTATAATACCAGCGGCGGTCCAACCAACCAACCAACCAACCCTGCCCAGAAATACCGGTACGAGTACAGTACAGTAGAATACGCCCGTTAATTATCACCACTAATTCACCTTACGCAACCATTGTTCGACTCAGAGGTTTTTACCACTAATGAACCGTGCTCGAGTACGGTACCGGTACGGTACTGGTATGATACACAGAGATGATCTGCACAGGGATAAACGAGGGGGGGAGTGAAAAAAAAAAAAGGGAAAAATGGAGGAAATGAAAAAAAAAAAAAGTAAAGGGGGTAAAAAAAGCTGACACTTGTTGCTGCCTTGTGCGGGTCGGTTTTGGCAGCCTAGTCTTGAGTATGACATGACATGCAGAGTACCCCGCTGTTACATAGGTGGTGAGTTATGGCGGGAGGGGTAACTTAAGTGGGGGAGAGGGAGGGGGGGAAGGTGGGGTTTGTGAGTGGAGGGAAAGGAGGTAAATACTGTGCTCGAGTATGATACGGTGCTACCTTTCTTGGTGCCTAGATATCTATGGATATGATATGTACCGGTGCGGTATGGTATGGTATGGTATGGTATGGGTATGGTCTGCCCTGATATACCTACCCCACCACACTTCCGAAATCAAGGGGGGGAAATAATAATAATAGGAAACCGCGATACTTGGTGATACATACTGCTAACCCCATAGTTGCGGTTTGTTTGGCTACCGTACTCGTAACCAAATTGTTATACTCGTATTATTATATTCGGTAGCCGGACAGAGGGATAGTGGAGCAGAGTAAAGTGTGGTAAACCTACGGATACATTACTGTATGCAAAAGACTAACCCATCGACATGTAAATTAGCCACCGCCTCTTCATAGCAGGACGGGCGGAAACAAGAAGAGAAATGTAGGGGTATACATTAATAGTGACACGCCACCACCGCAGAATCAAATGCGCCCCACCCACCCATCCATCTAGGCCATCCAGACAATGCAATGCATACCCGAAACAAAAGGGAACTAACTATAAACAAGAAATACCAACCCCCTCGCAACCCGACCTGTGCTAAAGCAGCTACAAACGCCGTGAATGAGAAGAGATACAAACAGTAATAACGACGATGATAAGAAAAAAAGAAAGAGAAAACTAAAAAAAAACTTTTACAGTCACAAAGGACTACTCGCATAAACTTCCGCCCCTTCCGCCTAACATATCGCCAAATCACCCAACCAATCAACTAGTGAAATCAAGAAAGCCCAATAAGCTTCTTATTCCTTTTGAGCAACTTCTCCAGCTTCTTCTCGATCCCTTCCACCTCCTTCCTTGAGGCATACACAATCTTCTCCAACTCATCGACAGAAGCGCCGCGAACCTCCCGATCGCACTCGTCAAAATCCAGCGCTTCAACTGCCCACTTTTTCCACGCCTTGCTCCGCCCGTGGCGCTCCTCCAGACGGAGGTAGCGCTCCTGCTGCTCGGAGCTGAGGCCCGTCATCTGGAGGCCGGTTGGGGTGGCGACGAGACTAATGTTCACGACACCCCCACCGCGGATCGGGTACTGGTATGGATGGCAGCCGGGCTCGACCATCAGGATTGGCTGGCTGTTGTTGTTTTCTGCTACGGCGGCCTTGATTAGTTGCATTTCTTCGGAGGTTATGTAGTGCTCCCATTTCAGGGTTGTGAGGGGTTTAAACATGTCGAGTTTGGAGAATTTCATTTGCGCCGCCTCTTGGAATTGGGCCAGGAGCTGAGCTGTAGTTTTTGTGGATTGCTGCTTTCCATCTTGCTCGATTGCTGAGCCAGCAGGCGCGCCAGATGCAGAGGGAGTAGTGGTGGGTGCTGGGGTCGCTGCGGGGGAAGGGGTGGGAGTCGGCACGGGAGTCGGCGTATTGGTTTTAGTAGGAGATGGGACACTAGTGGTAGCAGTAGGTTCTTTGACAGGGGAAGGAAGAGATACAGTAACAGGAGCAACAACTGCCTGAGGAGCAGGAGCGCTGGAAGCCTCCTCCTCCTTCTCCTTCTCCTTCTCTTCCTCCTTCTCTTCCTCCTTTTCTTCCTCCTTTTCTTCCTCCTTCTCTTCCTCCTTCTCTTCCTCCTTCTCTTCATCCTTCTCTTCATCCTTCTCTCCATCAGCGCAGCTTCCACCTGCGACAGAATCTCCTCCGTCAATCACAGTATCCTTCTTGCGTCCCTTCTTCTTCATCCTGCCCACCACGGGAGCCTGTGTCACAGATCCTCTCTCAAGTCTCTCGCGTTCCCTCTCTCTCTCCTCAGCTTCCTTCCTAGCCACTGCAACCCTCTCTTTCTTCAGCGCGCTCTTTGTCTTGCCCTTTTTAGAAGACTGCTGAGAACTAGGCGGGGGACTGACAGGCCTACTGCTTCCACCATTGGAAGCGGTATCACTTTCGCCAATCCCAACCCCCCCTCCAATAGGCGTCTTGATGGCTGGGGACTGGATACCAGAGCTTGAAGACAGGATTCTAATCATCCTTGGACCCTGCTTGGCAATACTTGCAGCGGTCGGGGGCGCAGGAGATATCGGGGCCGTCCCCTCATAAGAGATAGCATTAGGCGTCACAGTGGCAGGAGAAATGGCGTGGGGTCCAGAGGAGCTTGCGGCAGCGGCAGTAGTATTAACTGAAGGCAAGACTGGCTTTCCCTTAGCTTTCGCAGGGCGAGTAGGCTCAGGCTTTGTAGCCTCAAGGGTTTCATCCTTTTTCCTCCCAATTGGCCCTAGCGGTGGCTTCTTTGCTTTCAGCGTGCTTGCTATCGGTGGCAATGCTGCTACATTCTCCTTGGTCGATGGGGCCAGGGCCGGGAATTCGTCTTCATCCACCATCCCGGGTGTAAGCTTGCGTTCTTGGGAAGTTATTCCAGAACCTACGATAAACATCAAGCAGAACCATTTAGCTTCAGTTCATCAAATAGAAGGGAATAAGGGGTGTTGGTAGATGGCGGTAGGCATTCCGGAACCGGGTCAGATTTTCCATGCCCAAGTCGTCTTGTCTTTTCATTAATCATTCGCACACGAGGCAGGGCAGCAGACTACTCTTTTGACATTAACTCGCAAGCACATACAAATCGCCGGGGGTGAGTCTAGATACTGCTGCAAAGAAAAAAAGAAAAAAAAAGGGATAAAAAACGTCACAAGTGCGCCATTTTGAGTGCAGGACAAGTAAAGCAAGTTATAAACAGCGCTGATGACAAGACACTCGAGAGGCACAAACTCGTTCGCGCCAGGGATAGTGTGGATTTTTTTTAAAACTGAATGGACACTTTCCCCACTTTGCACTCCTTTAGCTCTTCATCCTCGAAGATTTGTGCCACAAAAATAACATATCCCATAAAATTAGAGCAACCAGATGAGACGTGACAAAAAAATGAAATTCAAATCAGACAGCGGGAACCAGAACAGGATGAAGTAAGAAATACCAAATAAGGCCCCCCATTTCCCAACATTAAACGCCTTGACAAAAAATAGAAATTTGTACCGTTGCCCTACTGCTTGCCCGCTGCCATGTGCGAAGATAATGCAGACACTTGTATGAAATGGAAATTCGTCGCCTCAGCCCGCTTGCCAACCTACCATCTACCATAGTACATGTTCGGATTATACGCACCTTGCTGGCTAGCCTGGATCCCACCTTGGTGATGCTGCATTTGTTGCTGAGGCTGTTGCTGCTGCTGTTGCTGCTGCTGTTGGGCCATCCGAACTTGCAGGATGCTAGGATCCGCCAAGTCTCCCACTGGATTTGGCTTAGCACTCCCCCCTCCCCAATACGAATCAACATTCATACGTTTGCCATCCCCGGCTCTTCCACCCAGGCTAGCATTCCCTAACGCACCAGCTCCATTGCCCCTCATCAATTCTCTAAGAAGCGCATCTGAGCTCTCAGATTTATTATGGTGACCAAGTCCTAGTCCCGAAAATTGGCCACTGACAGTATGAAGGCCACCCATAGGAATACCACTCATGCCTGGAGCCGGTGGGGTGGGTGCACTCTTCAGCCCTGGAGGTGGCTGCTGTACAGTACCTCCAAGCATACCACCACCACTAAGACCCGGTGCGCCACCAGCCCCGTAAAAGTGGGCGGCAAGCTGCTGTTGGTTGTGCAGTTGTTGTTGCTGCTGCTGCTGCTGCTGCTGAGCCTGCTGTGGCATCATACGAAGTTGTTCGGTCATATGAGCAATGTTTCCACGAGGATTGACAGAGGTAGATGCCGCGGCCGGATTGTCATTGGCAAAATTGTACCTGGAAGTTTGTCTGGCATGCAACGACCCGCCATGCGTCTGCTGCTGCTGTTGTTGGGGATTTCCCATAGCGCCAAAGGGACTGAACGACTGTTGAATCTGTTGCTGCTGCTGTTGCTGCTGCTGCGGATGCAAGATACCGCCAGGAGTGAGCACCCTCATAGCCTGTTGATGAAGGTTTTCCTGTTGCTGGAAAGCTCCAAGAGGCTGTTGCTGGGGATGACTTGCCGCAACTTCCTTCAGCAGATCTCGCTGGGAAGGAGTGTTTCCTCTCCCCGCCATATTTAGTGACACCAGCCCAGGAGCAGCTGCCATTGTATCAACGGGGGGCTGTGGCTGTGGTATATCACTCTCTGCCTCCTCGTGCTGCTGCTGCTGCTGCTGTTGCTGTTGTTGTTGAGCTCTCAGACGCTCAGCATTCTCCCTCCGACGCCTCCCTCCATGACGATCAAACATGGGAGGCATCTTCTCCAGATCGGCAATGTCTCCCTCAGTCATACCCTCCGTTGAAAACACAAAGCGGAATTTTGGATTGGAAACAGCTCGTAGGCAGTTTTCGAGACGCTGCAAATGTTCCTGAACCGGAATTGGAAGCTCCGGTTGGCTCGGTTTGGTGGGAGAACGAAGAGCCTTAACTGCAGAATCCTGGGCAGATGACGAGGAGGCCTCTGACGCTTGAGTGGAAGCTTGATTGTTGGTCACCAGTCCGCCGGGTGGCTTGCCAACAGGACCAGGACCCGAACTGGCTCCTGATCCAGTCGATGCCGGCGGCTTTCCGAGACTTGATCCACTCTTGCCACTTTCTTGGCTCTGTGTCTGTACCATTGGGGCAGCGGGTACACTGCGTGGGCTTGGAGTTGACCCTTTGGATAATATAGCAGAGCCTTGCGGTTGTATTACAGGAGCCACAGACCTGACAGCGGGTGTGGGGGGGTTCTTCGCCCAGTTTGCTGTAGATGGTAATGCAGAAGACTCTCCATTATCACCCACACTTGACGATCCACCCTGATGTGAATTAACCCGGGCCATCTGTGCACTCTGCTGCTGCTGGGTAGGCGGTGGATGGGCTGGATGAGAGGGGGGTACGGCAGTGATAGGAGGCTGGTGATGAGGTGGGGGCGCCTGAGATGGGGCCCCCTCCTGCTGGCGAACAGTAAAGGTAGACATTTGCTGTCGATCGTAGGAATCCGCCTCCTCTCCGGGTTCATGAAGAAACATACAGTTTTTGTTCGGGCAAGCCTCATTACGAAGATAGGCAGAGCAATATTTCGTTGTCCCATAGGTAGCCCTGTTTTCAAATTAGCATCCACACGGAAACAAGTGAAACCAACGCCAATCAGAATACCTCAAGGTTCTATCGCCATTCTGACTACCGTCGACAGCTTCAATGCAGACTTCCGCGTCCTCCTTTTTCGCAAAAGTAACGTACACCCCGAGGCCCTGAGCTCCCCCACTGCCTTGGTACCCATTGCCGGATCTATCCTGTGCAGTGGTCCTTTTGTTGACCACAATCTTGATAATTTTCCCATATTGCCCGAAATAGCTCTTTCCTCTAAGAGTCTGAAGTAGATCCTCCTCAGGTATGCGGGGGTTGAGACCAGTCACGTAGACCAAATTTTTCTGAATAACACGAAGACCGGAAAGGTGTTTGCGGTTAAGAGCATCGATCTCACGTTTCTGAGCCTCGAGCTTACGTTTCTCATTCTGCTGACGATTCTTCTTGTTCTGGTCGGCTCTCATCCTATATCAATAAAACAAGGAAAAGACATCAAAAGTCAGCCCTTCCATAATAACCAGAATTCCTTGATAAAGGGTCCGTGAGGTAAGGCACCATCAGGGGAATGAAGTAGTAGGGGGGAGATGTTGGATAACTCACTCTTCGGCGGAGATCCCTTTCCATTCTATGGTTTTCTCATCGTACGGGCGTCTACAAGCGGGACACAAATTTTTCAAATTATTCTTGATGTTGTTATAACAGAACTGGCAGATCTAAACGCCGATGTCAGCAGCTCTCAGTAGGCGGCCGATTGAGGATATAACCCACCTGATAGCCACAAGGGCAAGGCCTGAAATTCCTATCTTGAATATCGAACTCCTCAACACACAGAGGACTAACATTGACGGAAGGTGAAAAAAAATTCGTTAGCAAGGGGGAAACAGCAGCAAAAGCAAGAATGAAGGAGAGGCTGGGGAAAAGGCAATTTACCAGAACTCCTCTGTATCGTCGATGAATGTATCTTGCTGTACTCGAGACATGATGTACAATGCGAGGCTAAAGGAGGCAGGCTTGCCGTCGGGAGCGCAGGGTTTGAAGAAGGCAGGTGAAAGATGAGCAAGTTCGAGAGTGTCCGATATAGTTGAGGACGAAATAGCAAAGCTCCTTTGAAAGTGTGAAGGGAGATAAAAGGTTTGAAAATGATGAAACCGCAAGCAAGTGGTTGAGGCGGTGGTAGTGGCAGCGGCAGTAGTGGGGGGGGGAGAGGGCGGAAGGAAGTTGTACAGGTGGAAGTCTATCACAGATGTTGACTTTGAGAGAAGTCTCTGTCTTGGCTTTGCCCAAACCCTTGGGACAGCAATCAGCCAACCAAGCTTAACTCATCAAATGACTAAGGGCTTGTTTGGCAACCCTGCGACCATTCCGTTTCGGGACTGTTCCCCATACAAAAATGGCCATCCTTCCGTTTTGAAACGGACAGAAACGGACACTTTGTATGGGGCAACGGAACGGAACGGTCGTATCCAAACAAGGCCTAAGTGACATTAGTCTACGCCCATCTACGCTGTCACTTCTTCGTTGACAGGTTGACTTTTTTGGGAAATCAAAGGTCTCTACAGTACCGTCAAGGATCTAATCTAGATAATCTGTTCCGGCTCCCCACGAGTTTCAAACCAGAGTGTGGGAGACATCACGCTTGATATCGAACAGTGATTCGCGTGCTGTCCTATCGGTAGTCTACTCTTTGACTGCACGCGGCAGGAATCAGTTCTCCATCTCCATCTCCACTCAGCCCCTTTCCCCTCCTCAATCCACATCCTCATTCAATCAAGATGTCATTGCGGATCAATTCGTCAACCGTTATCGTGCGGTCGCTTTCGGCGGGCGCTCGTTCCCCCGCTATCAGACTTGCCCCCGCCATTGCTGCGAGATCATACTACTCCGGAGCCAAAAGACCGGACGGAACAGAACTTCCCAACATTCGGAAAGCTGAGAGACCCCGTGAGTATAAACCATTTATTTATTTAAACGATGAATTCCACGAAATTCTAAACAGACCCCTGCACAGCTATCGGACCTCTAAAGGCACCCATCGTGAACCCGTAAGTCCGAGAACCCCCCCCAGCCCAACCCCAACCAAGACCAAAGCCAAAAAAATTAACCGCCTTTCTCGGCAGGGCCGACAAATACAAATCAACTTCTGAATCCCTCCACGCCTACGGCCGTTACCTAATCTCCGCCTTGCCAAAGTACATCCAACAATTCAGCATCTGGAAAGACGAGCTAACAATCTACATCGCGCCCTCGGCCGTCTTGCCCGTCTTCACCTTCCTCAAGAACCACACGGCGGCGCAGTACACGCAAGTCAGCGATATAACAGCGGTGGACTACCCGACCCGCAGCAATCGCTTCGAAGTGGTGTACAACCTCCTCTCCATCCGCCACAACTCGCGCATTCGAGTCAAGACCTACGCGGACGAAGCCTCGCCCGTTCCCAGCATTACGGGGTTATACGATGGCGCAAATTGGTATGAGAGGGAGGTGTATGATCTCTTCGGGGTGCTGTTCGTGGGCCATCCGGACTTGAGAAGGATCATGACCGATTATGGCTTCGATGGGCATCCGCTCAGGAAGGATTTTCCACTCACGGGGTATACCGAGTTGAGGTATGATGAGGAGAAGAAGAGGATTGTGGTGGAGCCTTTGGAGATGACGCAGGCTTTCAGGTATGCGTTTCTTGCCTCTCCAGGGTTCGGGGAATGCTGACTCCGACACGCAGGAACTTCCAGGGCGGTAGTAGCGTCTGGGAGCAGGTTGGGAGTGGGAGGGATGATACGCCTGATTCGGTATGCCTCCTCTACTGCTTCGTTACCAGCGCGTACATGGCTAACGAAAATAGTTCAAACTCCCAACACCAGGGCCAGAAGGGAAGCAAAAGGAACAAAAGAGATAGCCCTCCAACGTATATTTGCCTTCCTCCCAGCGTTCCATCCATCACTCAACCCCTTCCTCCCCTCAATTCTCTCCTGAATAAATCGATCCCACAAATCACACCCACCAACCCACTTGCTGTATGTAATCCACCGAACCAGTCTGCACAAATATATACCCCCGTAAGCGGGCAAGGAAGGGAAGGAAGTAAATTCCACGAAATCTAAACTACACAATGCAACCCCACCATTGAACCAGGGCAGACAATCAAAAAAAAAAAAAAAGAGAAAGAAAAGCAACATTTTCAACACCTACTCCACGACCCAACGCCCATCAATCAAAGCCCACCCATCCATATAATTATATCAAACCTGAAAGTGGAAGAAGAAGAAAAACTCAAGAAAAGAATCAAAGAAGAAAAATTACCAATTCCAAGTGCGATTAGCCGCCGTAAAAACCGGCGGCTTCCACTGAATCAATTCCGGATCTAGCGTCCTCTTACCCTTAATCTTCTGCTTCTCAACTTGTTTCTGCTTTTGACTCAGGATTGCGTCTGTGAGGCAGATGACATGTTGACCTTTCTATAAGCCCCCCCCCCGAAGTTCCATTCTGATCAGCCCACGGGCGCAAACATAGAGATGACGGGTAGGAGGAAAGGGGAAGGGAGTACACACGAAATATCTCAACATGTTCAAATTCTGCAGCGTGTGGATAACATCCTGGGTAGTCATCGCGCTCAAGCTCGCCAACTCATCGATAGTGGTTTCCAACCCCTTGTTACTCAGCAGCAGGTCCACAATGGTATCCTGCCAATACGCCCGATACCCGAGTAATCCCAGATCCGACAGTGGCTTCTCCGGGGATCCCAGTTTTCCCTCGCGTTTGCTGAGCTCGTAGGAGAAGGCGATGAGCAGTTTTCCGTAACCGTGGCGCTGGTATTGCGGGAGCGTGAGGATGCACGCGACGTTGTAGCCCTCGGCAGACTCTTTCTCCTTGGAGAAGTAGCCGATCATGTGGCAGCCATATTCATCTCTTGTCGTCATGATGTAGAAGAGGAAGGGGTCAACGTCGTAGTACAGCGTCTTGTGGTCCAGGAAGCACTTTGACAGCAGACACAGGTTGCGGCACCAAGTGCGCTGGCGCCGCCCGTCGATCTCGAAGAAGGAGACGGCGGAGTCGCGGTAAATCTCGTTCCCCGGAGGATGCAGAAGTGTGCACTTTGTTCGGTGGCGTTGGAAGCGCTTCTCCTCGCCGAAATAGCTGAGGCAGAATTCGCAGATGAAGACCATCTCCTCCTCCGTGTACTCCACCGGGTACGGGGAGAAGTACCAGGGCTCTACTTCGTACTTTCCGATCTGTAGTTTTGATAGATTGCGCACGCGAGAGATCTCGTGCGCGGATTGGGTCATTGAGCCGGAAGTCCTCAGTTTCTCGATCTCGTGCTCCTTTGAAAAGGTCTCTGGTGTCCCGCTCGCCCCACTCTGCTTTGCTGGGGTAGCGCGCGCAGCGGCGGCTTTGGGATCAATCTCTACGGACTCCTCATCAACCTCTTCATCCTCGGGGGTGCCCACGTCGCCGACAGTCTCAGATTGCACGACCAGGTCATCCTCCGGGAGTGCGGAAGTGCGGGCCTTCTTATTACTGCCCTTCTGCACAAGTGTTGGTGTCCCCGGGCCCAGACTGTCGCCTCTCCGTGGTCGCTTCGGCACCCTAGCAGTCGTAGACGTTGGCGTCTCCCGGGGCGTCGAGGCCTTCGCTACCTTCTCCGGCTTCTTCGCGGGTCTATCCGGGCGTGGCCATTCCACCTCTTTAGCCAAATCCAGACGTGTGGGCGGGACCCATTCGTCCAAACGCTTGTTGAACTCCTCATAGTGCACGTAATAATGCGGCGTGCCTTTGCGTGTTTGTATCGACAGGATCTCGGCCAGGCGGTGTTCCTTCGAATTTTCGTGGTAGACATACAGCTTCACACCAACACTAGAAGGGGATGTTAGCCCTGTTTGGTTTTCGAGCCTGAAATAAAATGTTATTCCCAACCGGGGGGGGGTTAAGCATACCGTAGGGTTGCTATGGTGGCGATGGACTTTTCTCCGGCTTGCACGTCGGGCGTGCCGGCTTCGGCGCTGGTATCGCGTGTAGGCATAGTTTTGGTGATTGTGAATCGATTCCGGGCAGTTTTTGCTCGTCTGGATAGGTGATGCTCGAGATATTCCTCACAAACGAGGAGGAGGCGGACGCGTTGATGATGAGGTGACGTTGGGATCCTGACACGTGATTTTGCCCGTTGCAGGGCTGCGTTGATCTGATAAGACGGAGTTAACTACTGTACTCAAGTACGATCATTGACAAGATTTTATCCCCTTTGGTTTCACCTTGGAATTAGCGTACCGTAAAAACGGAAATAATTACAAAGCCGGTCTTATGCCTCCCTCAGCGGAGGGCGGATATACTAGACCCTATGGCTCAGCCTTTTCCTACCCCGTTCCCCCCCCCCTTCCTAATTAATCCAAGGGAGAGAATTCTGGACGTCCTAGCACGAGGCCCAATTGTTCCAGCCCTTAACGGTACGGTAGCCTGCTCTTTAGTAAAACTGTTGAGCTCAAAGACAGCTAGCCCAATTTCACCCCCAAAGAAAAGAAAACAAAGAATGGTTCATTCAGTTCAGAACAAGCACCACTCAAAGACACCTCTTCCACATGCAAGGAAACCAGCCTACGCGGAAACATAAAAAGGGCGGCCTTGACCCTCTTGAACCCCCCCTCAATATCCACCTTATCACGCAGGGCTGAGCAACTCCCTACAGACATGATGTTGTACTGTCTCAAGCCCAGATGGCCCAATGATGTACTAGTAATACCAATTATACAAAACACCCCCTCACTAAACATCACTCGTTGATATAATGGTATTCTGCATCATCATACGGTACCATCACTTTGGCTCCATAGTCCTGGATATCCGCGCTAAATTAGGCTTTCCCGTCCCCCCCCCCAAAAGGGACCGCTAGAGAAGAGGATTCCTCACCGCTGAGGGTATCCTGTGTCACTTCACCTGGGCCTGAATCGGCCGGGTGAACAAACCACCCGTCCAAAAACGCTTACCTGACGGTTACTGATGGTCAACCCACCATATGGGATATGCTGCTGTTGAGGCATTAAAAAAAATCCCCCCCGTTAAGACCTAACACCGATGGCCGTATAAAGCTACCAACACCCCCGCTGACTACAAATCACCAAGCAACTTCCCGACTTTCTCAGTTCTCCACATCCACACGCGCAGATCGAACGGACCCAGTCACTTGTTCGACAAGGCGGAGATACGTCGTGGCAGACAAATGAAACAGACAAAAATACAACACTACTTCTCATTCATAATTAATTTTACCCTTATTACGCAAAGATATTCCCAACCAGTTTCAAAGAGCACCAATTTTTAACGAAACAGAAAGGAAAATGAGTGAGAGGGCATCACTACTCAGGAAATATTTAAAAGAAAGGGAAATAATGAAAGATGAAGGGAAAAGGGAGACAAGTCACAAGGGCTGAGAAGAAAAAAAAGGAAAGATAAATGACGAGTCCCAAATCCGATCACTCTGACCATTTTATCACTAGCGACGCACGCACAAGCACACAAACTATTTCTGCTCAACAACCGGAGCCGGGGCGGGGGCGGCAGAAACTGGAGCGACAGTCTCCGGATTTGGCGACCTGACAGCAGTGGGTGCCACTTCGGTCTTGGGTGCCTCTGGCTCCTTGGGCTCCTCCGGTTCCTTGGGTTCCGTGGACTCCTCCGGCCCCTCCTTCTTCGTTTCAGCCTCAGGTTCGGCAGCCGTCGATGGGCCCGCGTCGGGTACAGGCGGGGATGGTTCAGCTTCGGCGGTTGCCCCCACAGATGCCTCTACTTTAGGGGCTGTTCGAATTAGCCCTCGCGCTGCGCGTTTTCAAGCAGAGTAGGGCAAAACACGACATACCTTCGGTAGTAGCAGCAGTGGGTTCGGTGGACGGCGGTGTGGTAGTGACGGGGACGGCAACAACAGGAGCTACAGCATTTACAGCAGCCGGCGGAGGAGCGGCGGTACCCTGTGGTTGTGTCGTGGCATCGGTCTTCTTCTCCTTCTTCTTACGCCCCAAGAGCGAACGGCCCAGTTTCTTGAGAAGGCCCAGAGCATTTGGGGGCTACCGCTCATCACCATTGGATTAGCCGCGTGTACTTGGAACTCAGCTCCGAGGAGGGAAGGGGATAAAGGGAAGCAAACTTACAACACCAGGCATTGCGAAGAACGATCAGAAGAAACCTTTCGGGGGAAGATAAGGAGAGTTTGTATCCACGGTTGCGCAAACGGTGAAGATATGAGAAGGTGGAGGAGAAGAAAGAGTGGAGGATAATTGGAAGGAGGGAAGGAAAGGGAAAGCGAAAGGGAAAAGGAAGGAAGGGGAGGAAGGGAAGGAAGGGGAGGATGAGCAAGAGAGAGGGAGAGAGAGAGCAAGAGAGAAAACGGGGGAACACAAGAAATCTGGGCGGATGGGAATCGAGAATACCAAGACAAAAACGGACGGACAGACTGAACGGCGGAAAGATTAACAGAGGCAGAACAGGGCAAAAAAAAATATTATATAGACCACGGTAGAGGGAGCTTTTTGAAGGGCTCTGAAGAATAAACCCCGACACGAGCCCAACCCCAGGCCTAACTAATAACACACCACCTCGGCCGGGCAGAAAGCTGGACATTTTTTTTTTGTATGGGAATTTCCAGGTTAAGTTAAGGTTAACCGTGCGACCTCAACTCGGGCACACGAGGTGTCTGGTGAATACGATAGAAGTTCGCCCGTGGAGGTGTGAGAGCGGCTCTGATTGGTTGGAACGGAGGTGAACGCGGCACCAAGTTAATCACCCAAGTTAAGAAGAAGCTCCGATCATTCAATTTTCACCAGAGGGCGGAACGGGCCCAACTTTTAGGGAGGAAAAAAAGAATAGAAAACAAAAAAAACAAAAAAACGAGCCTGTTTGCCCGTGCAAAAGACCTTACTCGTACAAGTACAGTACGAGCAGTCTATAATATTATGAAATAAACCCTTAACTCTACGTTACAAGTGCCGGGGGGAATAGACCCTTCTTTTTTTTTTTTTTTTTTCGTTGAATCCGCGATTTTATTTTATTTGTAGCTACAGTACTCGTACCGTAACTAACCAGCCGGGAGGATGCCGTAGACGACAGTATGAATACTTGTAAAATTAGCAACCAAGAAATAGACTACCAGCGATGTCACAAGTTATAACAAGCATTTATGAAACGCGTGTCCAGACCGCATGAAAATCGGTAAGGATGATCGCCCACCGGTACCATACATTTCCGCAACCTTCATGTCACAAGTTCAAGGTAAACAAACTCTCGAACAGGGGTCTCAGATACAGTACCGGTACTCGAGTACAAGTAGGGTCGGTCCGTCTCATAGATGGCCGTTCCTCTCCCTCCCTCCCAATCGTTCTTCACCGTGAGGAAAGTGAGAAAGAGGGCATTATCATGGCAGGCAGCCTCAGACTCGCACTTTGCTGATCAGGCGGGCGCGGAATTTCCCCGGCACTCTGTACCGTGGGGGCTTGCGGCGATCGTTTCCCTCCTATCATCATGATACTGGCACAGAATATCATAGCACCGTATGTAATGTAAATAAATTGCTGTAAGGCGCTGATCCATCATACCGGTAGTCCATGCGCGGGTACGAGTGTAGTACTGGTATCATGCTCGTACGGTGCCGTGTACTCGTACTCTAGTACAGTACAGTACAGTAGGTGTTTGGCCGCCATTTTACAAGTACTCGAGTACTCGAGTACAATGCTACTGTACCGGTATCTGCCATTACAGTAATAAGGCCCACCTCTCCTGGCGAAAAACGGGGGTCATCCTGCATACCGGTAGTTTTAGGGCACGTGGAGCCTAAGCTTTCCCATCCCGTGCCCCAGATCATTCATCAGGAGCGATGGCGATTGAAGTAGGATACAAGCACTGTACGAGTACTGGTACTGTACGGGGGAATCATGTGGGGTTACCCTCGGGATTTGTGGTCTGGGAGCCATTTGGCTACGGCTTTCCAAAACCGTGTGCGAGTACGACACAAGTACGTGCGGGTACATACAGTCGGTGCGCTTTCTCGCCCCAGGCAAGTACCCGAAGACGGGGATTTGAGAAATATATATATATATGGCCAATCATCCATGTGTATCCGCGCGCAAGAAAAATTATGTCCTCAGTGTTTGGATACCTCCTGCCCGGGAGGAGTCCCGTATGTATCGGTGAGGGCACGATAATTCTAGAATACCATAACGAGTGGGAGTCCTCTTCTGGAATATCTGTCTGGAGGCTGGGATGGGGCGACACGGCTTAATCTGGTATCATGGGGACAGTGGTATCGTGGGCACAGCTGTGGACGGTGTCTCACGTGTGGTTTGGATCCTTCAAATGTACCGGTATCAACGGTATACATGGATTTCTGTACGGGCATAATATTAGGATTGCGTGTCACCACTACCCGAATAATGTAGCAAAGGCTAGTTTAGAACTGGATAGAGCATCTGAGTTCGGGACGGTATATTTCTGGGGAAGTGTTACGACATCTGGGGGAATTGGGTGGTGAAACGCAACATCATTTTTGGCAGGCCGATGCGAATTCAGTAATGAGAGAGACATCTTTGGCTTTGGCATTATGGCTGACGCGATAGGCCGTTCGTTTAGTGGGCAGCATATCAGGAGTTATACCAACCTCGAGCCGCAGCAGCCTTGCCAAACCAATTCGCTCGCGTTCGCGAACGACCGGATACCGCCATGAGAGGGGGGGGTACTGGAAAGTGTTCAAAGTAGGCTCCGGGGTATCATAATAATAGCTGCCGAAGGTGCATTGCAATATCACGTCCTCATCAGCGTCATCCTCAAATCAAACGATGTGAAAAGAAAGAGAAATCGAATAGGGTATGGGGAACATCTTCAGAAAACATCGCTATCCAGTCCCTATCATCCGGTATGATACTAGGGCCATACCTCGTCCATGCCTTCCTAGAGTCCCTCTGAAGCAGGAAAACTGAAACCAAATCTCACTATCCCATCTTAGCAATAGATCTGGTGACCGTAACGTGAAAATGAATGAAGAAAATAAAACAAAGAGGTAAAGAGAAACCAGTTACAAACTCCGAAGAAATATGAGAGACTGCAGACTTGCTGTACAAACTGCTCCTGTACTTCCCAGATAGAAAGAAAGAAAAAGGCCGGCATTCGTTAATCATCTCTCCTCGTTTATTCGGAAAAAAAAAACTTTTGCTTCGATTGGGCAGACGTGGGATTACGGTCGAAGAGGGGAAAAAGCATCCGTCAGCTTGAGGCGGTCGGTAGGATAAAACTCCAAAACGAGAAAGGACGGAGGAGGGATGGGATAGTGATCCCCAAAAGATACTCCCAATCTCAAAAGCCTAGTCTTCCTCCTCCCCCTGATGATAGACGTGTTTCCCTCGGGCAACATCCTTCCTCATAGGCTGCCCGGACCCCGTGAAACCAACTATAGAGGAAAAGTCAGCCAGTGATTCTCGGAACATATATCCAGAGGTAAGGGCGGCCAAATATAAAACGTGCACGAACCTCGACCATGCACACCCTCCGGGGTTCTAAACATGCTGCTCTCGCCTATCTTTTTCGCCTTCCCAGTCTTGCCTTTTACACCCTTGGAAGCAAAGTCCTGCCACTTCTTTTTGCCCTCCTCGAGGACCTTCTTTTGTGCAATCTTCCGCCCTGTTTTCGCGACTTTCGAGGGGCCATCGGCAGCCTTGCTGGATTCTCGCCTGCTCGCCTCTGCCAATTCGGTGTTTATAGTAGCGGGCTGCGAGATAATGGCGCTGTTAGAGATAGCAGAAGCAGTGGGGGTAGATGAAGCAGAGGAGGGACCGATGTTATTTCCATTGCTGCGAATAGGTGAACTGTCGAGCTTACGCTTCTTGCTAGCAAAGTTTGAGGCCGGCTTGATATGCTGCGCGTGTAGGGTCTCTGTAGCGCTGTATTGGGTAAATTTGACGATGTAGACTGGGTTTTGCTGTGATCCCATCACCGAGGTAATCCTGGCTGGATAAAGCTGGTTATCACCGCTCGTCCATCTCGCGAGGACGTTGTCACCAACTGCATAAATACTACTACTTCCCGCTCCTGCGCCTCCTACCTCATTGGAAGCGCTAGGTAAATCCCGTTTATTGCTGTGACTGGCGTGGCTACGATTGTGGTGGTGGGAGGGAGGAGGAGGAGACGGGGCGCGGCCGGCTTGTTCGGCGAGAAGGGATTCTGTCAGTGCGATAACCTCCTTCAGTTCCTTGACCAGGCCTACCAGCTCTGGGTTTTCGGGATCTGCTTTGAGCGCAGCTTCAACAGACTCAAGCTATAAACAGCAGACAATGGAGACGTTAGCCGTTAGCCCCCGCTAGACAAACCGGCAGGGGAAGAAGTGGCAAGGGATGGGGGCTTACCTGTAATTTGTATTCTTTTAGTTCCGCTTCCATGACTTTACGTCGGAGTGAAGAATGCCGGGGAAATAGATGGGATGGGATGGACTGCAGGGGGGAAAATAATTTCGCTTGGACAGTTGGGGCCTGCAGGTTGATGATTGAATGGCGAAGAAGGCAGTCTGTGATCGTCAAGAAAAGCTTCACCCCCAGCTTTGTGGTCTTGGCGCGGCCATTTCTATTTTATTTTTACTGCCCTCCTTACTCAGCAGGAACAAGGGTGCCGAATTCGTAAGGATGGCTCAAGGCCGACCTGCAGCACGGGGACACACCTAGGACACAGCACAGTACGGTACTGGTACCGGTTTTCCGGCATTGATCGAAGGCAGCGATAGACAGGCCCATGGTAGAAAGTCGCTTCGCCGGTTGGCTAACACCTGTACGGGTGTGCCGGCATTCCCCCTATCCTGCTTCCCTGCCACAGAGCGGATCTGGGGGGGGCTTGAGGTCTTAAGATTGACTCGACGTACCGGTGCTGTACCGGTGCCGGTATGGACATCGGGCACTTTATTGATCCGGCCATGCACACCTTTCCCAACTGGCTTGTGAGCAGCTGTCCGCCAAGAAATGTTCGGAGATGTACTCGGGTACACGGGAGGCGAGTGACCAGCACCGGCGTGCAGATCCGTGGGGTGTCTCGTTCGGGATATTCGACCAACGCGATACGGTACCTATGTAGCTGCTCCGCTTACGCATCGTATTTGTACGAGTACCGCATCATACTGTGCGGTACATGCAAGGAATAGTTGGGTGCTGTACCATGTTTTGGGTATGATATAAGCACAGTGCTCGTATGCACAGCGATAGATAAGATCATGGCACCAAGATTATGTGACCAAGGACCGATGATTACGGTTGAGTAAAATTAAGTTCTGTGCGAATTCTGGACGAAGCGCCTGTAGCGTGAAATGCCGGTGCGAAAAGGTGTGCGTCTTGAGCTCAACTCCCTTCGCAGACACGGTACTGCATAGGCTAGCGGTATCATAGCGCAAATAATGTTCGTCCGCAACAGAAAAAATGGGGAGAGCGGTTACTACTTTGGCGGGAAAGAGGTTGATCGGGCTTGGGCAAGTTTCCCCTCTCTCGCATCCTTCTGAAGGGATGCGCATGCCATCGAAGCGGGAGTCCTTGCGAGAGAATTTTCTGTGGCACGATATGGGCAACATACTTGTATCGATTCACACCGGCATAACGATCCTGCATGGAACAGGGGTACCGGTACTCGAGTACAAGTACTTGTGCCCTTTTTTAAAACTATCGCACGGGGGGAGGGGAATGCCGAAACACGGTAACAATAATAACAAGTGGGTTACTGTACAAGGACTACCGTATCAGTGCTCCGCAGTAAGGTTTCTCGGGATATCGACGTGTTGTGAACTGCTCTAGCTTTGGTGGGGGGCCACGTTAAGATACGATACCGTGCCGCTGGCATCAGGCTATGGTAGAGTGCGGTACTATACTCGAGCACCGTACTACTGTATCACTGCGGCACTATACACTATTGTGGCGAGCTTTTTATGGTTTCTGTGATTGAGGCTCCAGCTGCGCACAGAGTGAGATAAGGCCAATGAGAAGGATTAACGAGAACAATGCGATGGGTCGGGGAGTGGGAGGATCATGCCCTAACTGTAGAAGCCGTTTTACTACCGTACTAGTAGGCAACAGCTTGGAATAGCCAATGAAAATCTCAAACAAATGGATGATAACTTACCCCACTAATGTCTGAATTCATCGCAAGTTTCCCCCCCCCGTCTTACTCACAAAACATGTGGATTCGTAAGCTAGGCGATGGGCTTGTTAGAGTGGGCGCTGGATACCGGCAGGCTAAGGGCAGATAGAGAAACGGGGGAAAAGGCAATAGCGGAGTTAGACGGAGGGCAGTCAATTCCTCCGTTGGTTGCTGCAATGTTCGGTATGACGGGGCAGGGGATGCTCCATACGTACTGTGCTTGCCCGGTGTTGGGGTTGCACCGCAACCGCATCATGTTATCATACGGGCGAGGGCGGGAGCAGAGAGAGATCGGGAGCTGCCCTCCATTCGGCACTCCTACCCTACCGGTATCGCCCTTCTCACCCTCGACTCCGTACGATGCGGATATCTCTCTACAGGCACAAGTACGACAGTCGCATCCATCATACGGAAGAAGGCCGTGTGCGATGGGTGATGAGCTCCCCCACTGCACCGGAAAGTGCAGCTCGTAGCTTTACATTTCGTTCTATCCAAACTTGTTCACCGCCTTGGATTTATCCTCCAGGAAACACCGTCCTCGGCATCCGGGCAGCACGGGGTTCACCCACCACTGTCTAGTTATTGCCCAAAACCCTCCCCCACCACTGCAGGTTTAACATTCCACTACTGTATGCGAGTATCATAGCATATGCAGTTCCCTGAGGTCCGAATACCGAAGTCCCTGCCTCGCTTTTCTCTCTTTTTTTTTCCCTCCATTCATCTATTCGTCCCCACCACCACCATCTGGCTCCCCAAGGAATCGCTCCTTCCCACTCCCACCCTCCTTTTGCCGGTAGCTTAATATCTCCTCCACCCGCTCCTACTCCCTTCACTCGTAAACCTCCCATACAGATAGTCCGCCCCATCACCTACATTCCCATTTCCGCTCTCGCCATCCTCGCTCACCGCTGCATCTTTGAAAGCTGCATTGCCCTGTCAGGTTGCGCAACCCGTTACTGGAACTGGTAGTGGAACCCATTCCCACTTGTTGCGGTAGCGCCGTCTCCATCCGTCGGTAGCGCTCTCTACTACCCCCCTCCCCACCAAACCAGACCGGAGGTGAGTTTGGTGTGTGTGATAGAATCCCCAGATTTCCTGTCAGCCCGCGCTTCCTTCATCCCACTGCCCTCGAAACCTGTCCGCACTCGGTCTCTCACCCCTCTTCACACACCTTCTCCCCTCCACCCAGCAGCACCTACCGCTCATCGCCCTTGCCCCGTCGTCCTGCACCTTGGGCTTTCCCAAATCCTTCCCGTCCCCGAAATTTCCCAAACCTTCAAACAACCTCTGCTGGAAGCTTACCGCCACCGAGCCTCTCGCCACCATCGCCGGGGGAATTCGTTCTTGAGTCCCGCAAATACCTTCACTTGCTCCTAGTCAAGTGGTGGCCATTTCTATCACACGTAACCTCTCCCTCTCCCCCTCTCTCCTTTATCCTCGTAGCTTTCTGCGATTACTAACTTGGAGGTGTCGTCATCTTCCGTATTCACAGACTCGAACAGTAAATTTATCCACTGAGTCAGATTTATTCTACCAGAGCTTTCTCTTTACTCCTCGACCGAAAACACCCTCACCGGGTTGGCCGAAGCTCCTTTTTTTTTTCTTCCCCAAACAAAAAATAAAATAAAAAATAGGGCTTGAAATCGTTGGGGATTTTTACTTGATAATTAGGAAGGGCAAAGGGCTCCAGAAACTTCATTTGACGATCGAATCGTTCCATCATATCCCGGCGGCTACTTCACTTGGCTTGGTTTCATCTTGCCCCAACGCCTCAACTTTGTCGCTTGGATTTTTGCTGTTTTTCTTTTTCTACATTTGCTTACCATCTGGGGCCTGGCTTAGTCGATCAAGGTATTCCGGAGGGTCCATACCGGCCAAATTTGTGCAGAGCGACAGGGAGGGTTGTTTAACTTCAACCGAGTTGCAGTTAAGATATGACTACGGCAGCACCGGACGGTCTTTATCTTTCCCCGGATCAGCAGGATCTCTTGCTCGCCGCACTTACATCTAATTCTTCATCCTCCCCAATGTTCAACACTCCTTCCCTATCCCACCATATCTCCCAATCCATATCCTCGAATCGTCGTTCGCTGCCACCGCAATCACACGACACCCCGGACTCGATGGGCTCACAGTATGGGAATGGGACCCCGCCCCCAACAGCGGCCCTTACCGGCAGTTTCTCGGATGGCACACCGTTGATGGGGGAATTAGAGTATCAAGATTGGGGCGAGGATTTGGATGTTGATAATTGGGATTATGACTTGGGGCTTCAGGTTGGCGATGCCGACAAGAATATGGATAGTTATGCTGGGACTCCAGCCTCGGCATCAAATAGTGGTGGTGAGAAGGATGGTGAAAAAAGAAAAAATCCACCGGAGGCTGAAGATGGGAGCCCGAGTGCTGACCCGCATGACGCTGAACCGAAAAGGAGAGGTGGGTTTTTCCATTTTCCACTCCTCTGCCCATTGCACTGTACAGACTTGCATTTCACAAATATAAACCATAAATTCATCAATCCATTTATCCCTATTGTTTTAAAGATGCTGCACCATCTCATAGCCTTGAATTTCATTCAACCCTTTTTCTCTTTCATTGTAATGCCCATTGTGCAGCAAGCCTTGATCCCACTCTTATTTGCCCCGGACGTATATCTAGCCCGGCTAGAAATGTGTTTAGGCCCTTGGGTTGTGATCGGGTCGGCCTGACGAGGTCTAAAACTAATAGTTGGGTTGTTTCCTAGGAACAGATGACAAGACAGCAAAGAAACCTGGTCGTAAACCGCTAACCTCGGAGCCGACTTCAAAGCGCAAGGCACAGAATAGGGCGGCTCAAAGGGCCTTCAGAGAGCGGAAGGAAAAACATCTCAAAGACCTTGAGCAAAAGGTGGAAGATTTAGAGAAGGCATCGGAGTCGGCCAACCATGAAAACAGCCGCTTGCGTGCACAGGTGGAAAGGTTGCAGATCGAGGTCAAGGAGTACCGGCGACGATTACATACCGTGGGGCAAAGCGGATCTCCGCCGCTTGGTGCATCGAAGCTTCTTAGTAAAAGTGGTGCTGTTGGCACTGGCGGTTTCCAGTTCGAGTTCCCGATGTTTGGTAATGGCCTCTTCCTTCGAAATGGCGAGAACAATTCGGGGTTGAAGTCGGGTGCATTGCTCGACCGGTTGAATGCCGCTGGAGGGACGCTGGCTGCGTCCGAAGAGCTCAAGAAATCAATCACCGGTACGAATAATGGTGAGAACTGCGAGCTGTCGCTGGTCTAATAGACTGGTATTGCTGTTTTGGAAGCGGGGCTAATCAGATATCTCGGTTACAGGCTTTGGTCGGGACCAGAACAACGATTCGTCGTCAAGTTTGCAAAATACCCCTCGCCTGAATGGTGGCCAGAACTGCGTTTCTTCACCATCTGCATCGTCAGTATCGCAGCATGGCCCCGGCTCATCTGCCGGAACCAGCCCTGAGCCAATGAACAGTACGGCTGAAGGGACAATCAACAAATCACCGAGCGGCGAAAAATACATTTGTAAGAGCGGCCCGTTAGACGGCGAGACGGAAACAACATTCTGTGAGAAATTGAGTATGGCTTGTGGAAACCCACATAACCCAATTCCAAAAGCTGCCCAACTGAACAGCTCCTCCTCCTCGTCATCAACCGCCACGACCACGAATGCCAACAACATCTCCGCAAATACATCCTTTGGCTGGCTGACACAGCAAAACGGTGGCAACTTCGACCCAGTCCTCTTCAACGACTACCGTGAACCTGTAAACGACATAAACAGCGGAATCAACATGTCCTTCTTTGATGACGCTTTTGCAATACCCCAGACATTCAGTACGGACCTCGGCTCACCCCTAAACCTCACGCAAACACCCAAAAAGCTGGACCTCCTTGCGGAAATCGACCAGATCAACGACGCAGACTTGGATGAGGAGGAAGAGGAAGTCGTGCCGGCAGACGACCCCAAGCAAATGCTCTCTTGCAATAAGATATGGTATAGTTCCTCTCGCTCCCCCATCGCTGGAATACCAACAATGTTGCGGTGCGGAGCTAAGACTAAAGCAAGTGATGAAAATAGGGACCGTATAAGTAACCACCCAAGGTTCGTGAGTGGGGAGCTGGACATGGACGGGCTCTGCTCCGAGCTTAGGAGTAAGGCGAAGTGCTCAGAGACGGGCGTGGTGGTTGCGGAGACGGATGTGCAGGAGGTATTGACGAAGGTTGGGGTTGCGCATAGGGATATCTTGGAGTGATATGGTGATTATTTTTGCACGTGGCTGGGCTGGGGGGTTTTGTTTTAGCTTTCCTATGTGACGTGATTTGGTAGTCTTGATTGATTGATTGATTCGTTTGTTTTTCCACCTTTCTCGCTTTCGACTCTTTTTAGTTTTACATGCTCTTTCCCTCCAGGACGAGTGCATCGGATTCGCCAATGGAAATGTTTTTTTCCTCTCCTTTTGTTTTTTTGTTTTTGCTGCTATTCCCTGATTTGCTTCTTGGTTGTTTGTCTTTTTGACTGATGGATGGGTCGCGGATTACCCATGCTCAGAGGAACACGGTGGTATAATAGAGGTAGGTCAGGGCTGTTGAACAGCGGTCTATTGTTACTGGCTAACCAACAAACAAGCGACTCATGGAATCTCCGCTCCCTCCTCTTCCTTGTGGCTTTTTGTCTCTTTCTTTCGCCTCTCTTATTTTTCACTCACCTGGCTCACAGGATGCCTTCTTTATATCTTCACACCACCTTGTTTATATCCTCTCTTTTTGCGTTCTGCGTACTATTGTAGTGCTGCGCGGGCTTCCTTTTTCCTCACCGCACTTGCGCTAACTTGGGTTCTATTTCTTTCTTTCTTTCCCTACCAAAAGCAAATACCTCTTTACTAGTCGCATGGTAGTTGTATCTTCCCCCCTCCCGGTATGTTTCAATAGCTTACCGGGTATCACCATTCATCTAAGATACTTCATACCCCGGGCCAAAATACCCACAGCCCGTGCCGTATGCTTTTTCTTTCTTTATCTCCCTCTTTCCAATTTTTTTCTTACTCGGCGCGCACAAGGACGGTGGGATAGGTTAGCGTACGCTATACCGGAATACAGGTAGTTTCTGGACATAAATCATCGCAGCTCGCCTCTGAAACACAGAAAAGAAGGGGAGGAAACTTGTGAATATTGTACTGCGCTATGGTGAATAAACAAATAAGGTCCCGTTCGGCGCGGCACGGTACTACTATTATTCTAATATAATATGAACGTGTTTTTTTTAGAACCTACACTTGGGCTTTTTTTGCCAAGACAAGAAAAACACATTTGAAGTGTGGCAACCAGAAAACATAATTCCAAGTAAATCAAGTTTTAGTTTTCATCCAACTTTGACATGCTACTACTTTATGAGAAAAATATTTAAAAATATTTTAAGTACATAGAAAATATCAGAATGAAATAGCAATTATTTCTATGTAAAGAAATCTAACTCTAACCATAACTCTATGTGATGTTTTAGTATAGCAACATCCTAAGACTTACTCAATAACATTATATGAACGCGTTTTTATTAGAACCTACACTTGGGCACTCAACACCAAACAAATTTTTTTGGCCTAGCAAGCTTCATAGACATGTAGAGTATATATTCATCAGTTCAAAAAATATTCATGAGCCTTATATACTGTAATTTGCAGCTTCTGAACCAAAAAATGTGAAAAATACCAAAATGCATTTTTTGCACTAAAAATAT